GCACTAATACGACAAAAACTGTAGATTCGTAGTTACACGGTCCATCTATGCTAACTTTATGCTGAGTTTATATATATATGAACTGAATATCTTTAAATAAAACTTGAATTCATAAAATCTGTTGAACTCAGGATGTAATATCTACTCAGATTAATTCATTTCTCTAGAGTTCATTAACTAGAACCCAGAGGGTACCATGTGACCCAGCAGCACTCAGCCTGTCACTAGAACTGATCAGTTTTCCACACAGGCTCTGAACACCTTCAGGTTCTTTATAAATCTGCTGCAGGCTGCAGTGGGAGAGGATCATCGGCTGTTTGTGAGTAAATACCTGTGCTTTGTTTCAGATGTAAAAGCTTCATGATGCAGCAGATATTTGGAACTGATTGATATTATATTTTTTTTATTTGTTTAAACTAATTTATAAATAACCATTTTTCTTAAAGATCGTAAGCTTTAAACTAAAACTTCCTGTATGCATAAATACTGGTAAAATGAGGCACATATTTTGTGTTAGAGGATTTATTTGTCTTTTTAATAAATTTCTTATTRTTAAAACAGACTCCAACATGATCATGAGACACTGAACAAGGTATGTTTATGTTTGTTTGTGAAAWTTTTCATTTTAAATGTACTGATATTGACTGTTTGAAATACAGTCAAATGACTGAATGAACTGGAAAACATTCTTAAAAATAAATGTCTGATTTTTCCATTCTGATMATTTATTATCATGTTGTTCATCAGTTTTCTGTTGACTTAAAAGCATAACTTCAAGCATTTATTGAGTTTTGTGCATCTAAATGCAGATTTTTCTTCCAAGAATTATAATTGATGTCTTTATTCGTGTATTTATTTATTTTTGCAGAATACAGACCAAGCTCCAAAAAATAAAAGTGATATTTTCTCCGTGCAAACCTTTACTGAGCTTATGATAGACCTGAATTAGACCTGCTTTCATTAAACGTTTTATTGATTTGGTCTGTGTCTCTCCTCAGGCAGCAGGGAGGAGATGCTGAACTTCAGCTCCTCCGGGCTCCTGGACCCCCTCATGAGTAACAGCAGCTCTGTGCAGACAGGGGGCGCTGCAGATCCCCCTAAAGACAGCTTCTCTAACGCCCTGACCAAAAACATTGTGGCCATGTTGGTGTGGCTGGCCCTCAGCATCATCAACAGCAGCATGCTGCACACCTTTCTGCAACACAGGTACACGTTCACTGCAGGTACAGGTAAATAATATTAACAACAAATGATCATTATGGATACAAATAKTGTAAAACATGCAATTAAAGTTTAGATCCAATCTGCAAACGTGACTCTTAATTTTGCTTTAAGATTGAAAAAACATGTTTTTCTTTATAAATAATGGTAACACTTTATTTGAAGGGGTGTGCATAAAACTGTCAGAAATATAACATAACACCTGTCATCAGCTGAAATAACTCCTCGTGAAAGTTTATGACTGTTGTCATTAAATGTCATTTGGTAAATTATGACACTTTTAATGCAAAGTTGACATTGTTTAAAATGTCTTTCTTATGACAACTTGACATTAATGAAGAAATCATAACCTGTTATAAAATCTATTAAATATCAACTTTAACATTTTATTACACTGTCATTTGTTGTTAGTCTTAACTTTGGCTGTCATGAGAC